TCGCTACTGCATTTAAAATAGTAGATCAAAATAGATATATAGAAGAAGCCTTAAAGCTTGGTGAGGCTTATCAATCTTTTATTAAATTATTGCCACTTATAGAAATCATGAAAGAAGCTTTATATAATGATATATTTGCAAACAGGTTGTTTGAGATATTTTTATTTTATTATACTATTTGTTATTTTTGTATATTTTCTTATTTTACTATATATATAAATTACTTATATTTTTTTAAAAACTTTAAAAAAAAAATTAATAGTTTTATTAATTGTACTATAACTACAAATAATCTTACAAAACAAATAAACAAGTTAATAGAAGATTAATGCATAGGTATTCAACCAATTAACTATTTTATTGAGAAGTTATATGGTATTGTTTTAGTTTGAAAAAATATTATTAAAGAGGCTTTTTTACAGCTTATATTTGAGACAAGTCAGATAATATATTAGAATTCACAACTATAGAACACCAAACTCTACTATTTAAACAACCAATAGATATAAAATGATGATTAAATCAGAAATGGCTTTGTATTTTACTTAACTTAGTCAAACCTGCAGATAGAGAATTAAATATATATTTTTATATAAAAAAAGTAAGCAACAAGTTTTGATCATCATATACAATAAGAGATATATGTATTGATAAAAAAAATTGTTATTTACTTTAACTGATACTAAATATACTTGTATTGAAGTATCCTATTGTACAACAAGATAATTATTATCTTGTCAATTTTTCTACTAGTGAATATATATGCTTTGATTTTATTTGAAATAGCTTTTTTTGTAATATGTATAAATATATTCATGCAGTATGATTATTTAATAATATAGAAAACAATAAAATTATATCTAATGTGATAAAGCATGATCTTGTATTATATTTTCATAATAAAGAACATATGATGCCAAATAAACAAAAAAAATCATATTATTTATAGTAACTCAGATAATGATGTATTTGAAAAGATTTTTTAAATTTATTCTAAACAAAGTAGTGATATTTTTTTTTCTTGCGAATATAGAGTCATTAAAAAAGATCTATTTCGTCTAGCTAAAATACTAACAAGAAAGACATCAGGTATTGAAGTTCCTAAAATACAGTACCGGACAGCAAGAAACATCCAATTTTTTTTTAAAAGCGCCAAA